TTTTCAACTGCTCGAACTGTCTTAAGTATGGTCCTACCATCTATCTGGGTTATCTTTTCCCTAACTGCAGTCTTTAACGCGTCAAGGTTATCGTACCTTCGCTTGTAAATTTGGTTCTTTAAGTAACCCCACAAGAAGTAATCAAGTGGGTTTAGATCTGGTGATCTGGGAGGCCACTGTATTGGGCCATTTGTTCCTATCCACTGATCATTAAAAGTAGTACTTAGAAAATGATAAGTACCTCTGGAGTTGTGGGCAGGTGCGCCATCTTGCTGAAAATGCAGATGATGTCTACTTATAAGATCCAATTCGTCTAAGAAATTAGTCAGAATTTCTGACATAAATTCCACATATCTTTCACCAGTTAGGGTTCCCTCATAAAAGAACGGGTCAACAATTTTTGAACCAATTATACCGCACCAAACGTTGAAACTGAAACGGACTTGTGGGCCTCTTGGATGTACTAACAAAAGATTTTCTCTTGACCAATAATGGTGGTTTTTTCTATTAAACATTCCAGAATTTGAAAAATTTGATTCATCTGTCCATAAAAGGTAACGAAAGTTATTTACATTTTGGCGACAGAAGCTAAGATACCAATGGCAAAAAACAAGTCTTCTCTCTGGATCCCCTGCCAAAAGCGTTTGAACTGGTCGGTACTTATACGGAATAAATTTGTATTTTTTTAAAATCCTTTGAACAGTACCATAACTGAAATTAGAGTCCTTGAGAATATCTGCTATTGAATTCTCACGATAAGCTTCAAAATATCCAATAACTGCAATTTCCGTGGCCTCGCTTATTATGAATTCTTTTTTTGCCCTTGTTTTAGCAAAAACATTTTCGTTGCCCCTAAATTTTCGATAAAGTCTCAGAAAATATCGTTCATACGGTTGAATGCGAGCGGGATATAATTCACTGTAGTATTCTCTTGCTCTCAAGGAGGATTTTCTGCACACTAAATAGCATTCTAACATATCACACTTTTCTTCATGGGAGAACATTTTTCTTTAAATTAATGACACAATAAAGCTTATAAACAAGTATTTACACTAATGTTTGACATTATTTGATTTTATCATTGTTTTCCAAAGCCTTCTAGTTGCGAGTATGTCCAGTTTAACAATTTGTCGCTTATCTTAATGCTGTCAAATCGCGAACGCCATGTTGTTTTCATAGCCGTCTTAATATTATAATACTGCAAATAATTAAAAATATTTATCGTTATTTTGACTTTAGCGGAAAAGTCATTATGAACTTTTTTGTTTAAAATTTGATGCTTTAACAGAAAAAAATATAATATACAGGGGTTTCCATTTAAAAAAATGTTATTTTACTGAAAAAAATCAAAATAACGACTCTCAATTGTTTTTTTTTTATTTCTCATTTTTACCAGCGTTAAAAATGCTACTAGTTTGCTAATTTAAACAACTTTGTATTTTTACTAATAACAAAGTTACCAATGGTGGACACTTAATTTGGATAACCCTGTATAGTATGCCTCTCAACAGCAAATCCAATATCACGCATATCTTGACGCTCTGTGGTACGTTGGCCTTCTTCCTGTTCCCCTATCCACACACGACACACACGCATCACCGTCATTGCAGTAGAATTAACACGGCGGCCAATTTCGCGATAGGACAAACCAGCATCTTGATAGGCAATAATTCTACCCCTGTCAAAGTCGGTAACATGGTAATAATTTGGACGTCTTGAAGCTCGAGGCATTTTGTTATGCTTAACACTGGTAAATAAAAGGACAATAACTAAAAATATCTGTACTACTCAGCTCTCAGAAAATACTTTCTTCACAAGAACTAAGACAACGTAACAAAGGTAAATAAAATGAAAGATAAAACGTTGACATTGTTGTCACAGCATGCTTCAAATATAGTCATTATTTTTCAAAAAAAAAACAGGTTCAGGAATTATTTTTTCTCGGTGTAACACTTCCAATGTCATTGACATGTGGAGAAGGGTGATTTCGGAGCCGAAAAAGTATGTCCGACCAGTTAAATTAAGACCCATTATCGCTCAGTCAGTCAAAACAAGCTACATAACTGCCAAATAGGATGTTTCATTTAAAATAACTGACTTGACTTTGGGCATAACCTTCAAGGTCACGGTCAAGATGAAATCTACGTTCACCATTGGTCACTCTGGAATAGCAGCGATACGTGTTACTTCTTGTGTGACAAACATACAAGTTATAATAATATCCTACATCCATCAATACGGTCTAGGTTCTATAGGGCATCTAGGAGGGGTTTCCTGACCATGACCAACAAATGTTCCGTTTTCGAAACGGTCACGTACTACATGAAAGTAGATGGTTCACTTTGTGTCCCTTTTTCCAGGTGCAAAGTAGTATATACGATATATAACCTTCAAGGTCACTGTCAAGGTCAAATTCATGATCACTATTGGCCAGTCTTGGAGAAATCTTAGCAACAGTATGCTCCACTTCCTCCTGTATCTATTAAGAATCCGTAGTCGGGAGTTTCCGGGTTCCGTAGGGAGAAAAAGAGAGATATCAGGGTGTTGGCCTCATTGGGACTTTTGATCGCCATGTTGAAAGCAACATCTTTGAAAAATTTCAACAAATTTAGCCGGAACCCATTTTCTATAAAGAACTTTTAAAACACATATCAGTACGAGACGTAACCAAAACTTTGCGGTCGGCTCTTGGACTATTACTGGTTTACAAATAACAACTGCGGTCTATGTCCTTGGCTTGGCGATTCGCTTATAGACGAGTCTGCATGTACGGAGGCGGTGTTGTCAAAATGCCATAAAATGTTAAGAAAACGCTACATTTATTGTGAGATTAATGGAGTTCAGTTCTTTTCATGGTTTTTGGTGGTTACGTCAAAAAGTCACACAGAATAAGTAAACATTGTCTTAAGGTCAGGCTGTCTAGATGATTGGCAACCAAGATAAGTAGACAGACGATTTGACAAATAAGCGATTTGAGGATAGAAATACTTTGAATTGCAAGCTGGCCCGTCTCTTTTGTTACTAAGCTAAATCGTGTGGCATTCCGCTTAGGGCCATAAAAGTTGAAAAGCTAGATTTGTACTTCCTAAACTGCAGAACGGATGAGATCTGCAAATGTTCTGCCGCAACAAAACTGAAGGTGTCTTAGTCGGACGTGTTTTTCTCGTCAATATCCTCTATTTCCATTGATTTTTCCTTAGTTTGCAAATTGAAGCAAAGTATATATGTGTGTGATATTACGTAAAATATAGGTTTTATTTTCTTGACAGTGTATAGAAGTTCTCTGTTTTCTTTTCATCCTATGCAGTGCTCCTACCTTTGTGACCCCCATTCATGAGTTTCCGAGCATATGGCGGTATGTTCACATCTCAAATGATGTTATTGAACGAATAAGATTGCTATGCGTTTAGATATTCTGTTAGGGTCCATGCTTCTTTCTATACAAAAGCAAACAGAGGAGATGCTTCATTTTTATAAAATCCTGCCTGACATGCCCTGTTCTGCCATTTATTACTGATTCCTCTGTCCAGCTCTTTAAATCCTTCTAGTCTATCTTAACATTTGTTTTCGTCTTTTTTTTAGTTTAAGCCTATCCCATTTTTTGATTGTCCGGTTATGTGAAGTATAGAGTCAACAGGTCTGCCAGTATCTGATGTTTTTAACTGGTTGATGATTAATTTCCGTTTGAGTCTCGGATAAATCTCCTTACATTATCGAGTCCATTTTGAATCTGCCCATTGTTTGGATTTTGCAGAGAATGTGCTTTGGCATTTCTTCCTTTTTCAAGCAACCCTTATACAGTTCCACTAAAGCTATCTTTCCATTTCAATTTCTGCAACATATCTATTAAATTTTTCATCCGCATAGGGGTTTCGTTAAAGGACGCTTCAGTGCCATTGGAGGAATGATATCTCCTTGGATTTTAAACAAATACGAGGAATGTTAACATTTGCAATCTAACGTAGTCGTTAAGTTTTTCAAAATTTGAAAAATTTTCCAAATTTATCCGATTCACGATATTTAAAAAAATCCTCAAAACTGCCTCAAATCTTGAAATTTTCAGTCTAAAATTTTGATAATGAATGTTATAGATATTTCAAAAATTCTGAAGATTTTGAGGGTTTTAAAAGAAATTGTCAGAATCTTGAAAATATTGAAAAACACGAAGATTTTGGAAACCGAAAATTTTGAGGACAGATGTGTCAATATGCTTAATGACATTAGAAGAAAAACATAACTTCTTCAACTTGTATTTTGGCAACATAATGACTACAGGTATATTTAAAACATGGTGTGGCAACAATGTCAACGTTTGATCTTTGTTTTTGTTTACCTTTACAGACATTTTTAGTTATTGCCCTTTCATTAATTAGTGTTAAGCATAATAAAGTGCTTCGAGTTCGAACACTTCCAAATTATCACCATGTTAGCGACTTTGACATGGGTAGAATTATTGCCTATCGAGATGTTGGTTTGTCCTATCGCGAAATTGGCCGCCGTGTTAATTGTACTGCAATGACGGTAATGCGTGTGTGTCGTGTGGGGATAGAGGAAGACGAAGGCCAACTGAATCGCCGAGGTGTACCACAGAGCGTCAAGATAGGCGCTTTAGCAACTACCGTTTTGCTACTACTTACTTATTACTTGTCAATAAAATTATCGTTTCATTCTTGATGTAAGACTACCTCATTGCCAAAAAATCAATTTGAAGAAATTATTTTTTCTGGATGTTAGAATATTACTTTTATGTACGACCCATTTCGCAATCGTCTAGTGCCCGGAATCTTTTGAACGGTAACGTATATTAAGGGTACGATGCTTTATTTTTAATAACTTAACAATCTTTACAATCAGCTTAGGACGGTAAGATTTTACGATTCTAAAAATTTTAAAACACAACTTAAGGTAAAGAAAGGTATATATAAGAGAGCTCGGATATGCATGTCAGTGTTGGAAGACCACTATTAAGCGTTGTTTTATCACTATTTTCCCCTGTGTAGGACGAAAAGAATCAGATTCTAACGACAAACGCTTGGTTAAATTTGGTAAGTGTCGTTGTGAGTGACATTGACATTTCGCAATGTTTTAGCAGAGCAAACACTCACTCTTGTTTGGATTTTAATAACAGTCGGTGTTTGACTCTATGTGAGATGGCTATGAATTCGTGTCAGCTCTCCGGGTGATTTGGTAGGCATATGATTCACCATGTATTAAGCGCAATTAGGCCTAAATTCCGCTAATGCAGGTCGGGTTCCACAGAAATTGTTATCATTTGCGGATTGTTCCCTACACCACACCGCCAGAAATGTCCCGCACACCATATACAGAATTTCCGAAACTACTCCTTATAGACCAGAAGGTATCTACAGTGTTCTGATTCAGGTTCTTCCATAACCTCATTTAAGGAATGTGCATGTTGCCAGGTCCAAAATTGCAACAATCTTTAAAGAAATTCCAAAAGTTGTTCCTTTCGCCACAAAGTTTTCTTTGGTATTTGAAATGGTGCGAAAGATAATATGAAAAAATGAAAACTTTGCTGTTGGCAAAGTTCTTAATACTCTTCATACATCCATTAACAAAAGCTCAAAGCTTTTTTGAGTTTTTTTCCGGAAACCTTTGTCTCTTAGTTGTTAATCAAGCGCTCAATGGTTTTTCTGCCTAAGCGTGCGCTTGATTAACAATTACAAAAAAAGGATTTACAATAACAATACTCAGCCTAATGCATTAAGATTAAGTCAACGGATATTTGAAGAATTTTGAGAAACCTTGAGAACAATAAAATTTCCTCTTTTTTATATTGAAGCAGCCGCGTAGGCAGAAGCCTAAATGCCGGAACACCGCGGCTGCTATGATGATCCCAAAGAAATTTTGTTAATACGTTTTTGAACTGCCTAAGGTTAGTAGAACTGGGAAAAGCCTTCTCTTGTAGATTGTTCCACAACCTCGACACCCTCGGGACAAAGACGCGGTCGTATCGGCCAGGATGTACGAAAATTCGACACGGTTAGGATGGGACGCCAAAGTCAAGCTGGTCTGTCTGGCAGGCACATCGCGCGGCGGCATCATGGAAGAGAGCTCTGAGGTGCAAAGCCCGTTGGTGTAGCGATAGAAAAGAGCTAGATCGCCGACGGCCCCGCCGGTGCGAAAGAGTCCCGAGACTGTCTGTTAGAGAAGAGTCGTCGATCAGTCGGCCCGCCCTCCTCTAGACAGCATCGAACATTGGATAATGTGGTCGGGGCGGCAGCACCCCAAATGTGTGAGCAATACTCGAGGCTAGGCCTTATCTGGGCCTTGCATAGAGTGAGAAGGTCATGCGGAGAGAAGCACTTCTTAGCTCTAAACAAATAGCCTACCTTTGACGAGATGTGTTCGTGCCAGACCAGGTCCTCCGACCAGCCGAAATGAATGGCTCTTTGGTAAAACTCGGCCGTCTATCGAAACTGGTTGAGCGCTAGGACGCTTTTTGTTCGTCAAAGTACAGTACTGAGTCTTGGAAGCATTGAACTGTACAAGACAGCGACAGAGATCGGCTTGTCACTCTGAGTTTCTGCATGTAGAGTGCTGTCATCAGCGAAGCTGTGTATTGGGTTGATCGTGCAGGAAAGGAGGTCGTTGATATGTAAGAGAAACAGTGTCGGAGCCAAGACCGATCCCTGGGGAACACCCGCGTTGACGTTGTGGGATGAAGAGGACAACCCGTCAATTACGACGGATATCTTGCGGCCAGAGATATAGTAAAGTCAGCCACCCATCTAAGCTTTTCTGGGAGGCCATAGGATGGAAGTTTGTTTAAGAGGGCAGCGTGCCACAGCTGATGGAACGCTTTCGTGATGTGAAGAGCAACGACATGAGCCTCACCATAAGACTGGATGAGCTTACTCCACAATTGCGTGACGCAGGGTAGGAGGTCCCCTGTGGAGCGTTGGTACCGGAAATCATACTGCCTGTCGCTAATCAATCTGTGACTTTCGAGGTAGTCCAGAAGCTGGCGATTTATGCACCTCTCGATCACCTTACTTATAACAGAAAGCAGAGCTATAGGCCTGTAGTTGTAAGGGTCGGTCTTAGATCCTTTTTTTGGGATGGGTTGGACATGCAAATTTCCAGTTTTCTGGGAAGGTTCCGGATTCATAAGGTATCTGGAAGAGACGCGAAAGAACTGGAGCAAGCTCCGCTGCACACAGTACAATGGCAGGAATTAAGTCCGGACCAGAAGCTTTGTTGATGTCGAGCGACAAGAGCACTCGTCTTACGGTCTTATGCCTGAATGTTACCTCTCGCATAGTGTAGGGAACCCTTTGAATTGACGGCACTTGGGCATTGGGAGGGGGGAGAGTACGTCCATGGTGGAGTTGGCAGCAAAGATCTTGGCTAGCACTTCCGCCTTGGCCTTTGAATCGAATACAATAGTTCCATCCTGACACGTAAGTGGTGGAAGGCTACTGCGTGAGAAGTTCTTTTCAATCTGCTTGGCCAGCGTCCAGAAAGACCGACTGCCCTTGCGCTGCGACATTACTTGTCTGTTCTCTACAGTGGGGTTTTGTAAGAAGGTTCCGTGTGCCTTGATCTTTTGCTGGCGAGCAGTGTCACACGATTTGTTAAACCAGCCGTTGGATCCTGGTTTAGGCACTTTCACTGTGTGAGGGATGTATTCCTCCATTCCGACGTGGATAATTTCTGTTATCGAAGAACCGACAGCCGACGCATCCGCGTCAGTGAAACAGACATCTATCTCTCCAAGGAAAGCTAGATGTGATAATTTCATGTTTTCCTACTTCGAAAGTGGCATCCTTCGCACTTTTTTTAGTATAAAATGGCTTGTATCTCGAATACTATCAGCTTTAGAGGAACGTTCGTCAGAATCTTTTTTGCTCAAAATAACCCGTACAAGCTAAACAAAAAAAGCACTTGTGAGAACTTTCTGAAAAAAACTGTTTAAACAATTTTTGACAAAGTTTTGTGCTTCACCACATGCAGACTCGTTAAAAGGATGCCTTTTTTAATAAGGTTAAACCAAATCAGAGCATTTTTCAGAACGGATGCGAAAATGATTGCTGCACTATACGGGATGAAAAAGTAGATAAACGGCAGATTTTCAAAAAGCCTGAACGATCCCCAGAATGTTTCGACATTAGTTACAAGCTGCCACACAAATTTAGTATACTTTTGCATGGCATCCCACTCATTTTTGTCCCAAATTATTGATTAGACATTGTGGTCCTGACCATATAGGAAGTAAAGGCCACCTTTTTGCGCCAAGTACATTGGAGAATGTGTCTACCAAAACCAGATTGTACACGTGGTTGAGAATTTTTTAAGCCTCAATCACGCTGTACCGATGCATGCAATGTTATGTAACTAACTACCGATATTTCCCTTTTATTGTTTTATCCATAGGACGAGAAGAATCAACTCCTAATAACAAATATTTGGCTTTCTTTGGTAAGTGAAAACCAACTAATAACTAAAACGGCACACACACGGCAGTTGGGTAGTATATTTCCCATCTTTCTCATATCTAGCTCTAGACGATCACATTGAATGGTAGGAAGCCAATGGACATTTATTGTTCTTATGATGGCAACGACCATCATTGCAATATTTTTTGTCACATAAAGGTTTCACTAGCAAATTTTGAAATGACCTAGGCGTCGGTTCGGAAAAGACTAGACTTTGAAGGCCTGTGCTGCGCTCATGGACCATAGCTGATTTTAATACCAAAGTCCAAGTATTCTCTGTCTCAGTTGACAGCCATTGGGAGTCACTGGTTCGAATAAGTTTACAGGGTGGCCCATCCATGTGTGGAAGAAATATTACTCATAAACAAATACACTTTTTGAGAATAACTACAATTTGCGTTTCTGATGTTCTGTATGAGTAAAAATTAAAATCGAAAAAGTAACAAATAAGATAAAAGCTGAGGTGTATAAGTTTTTTTATACAAACTTCAGTACTACAAATTTCAAAATGGCGGACTGAGGGGTATTCTAGACAAAACACCTTCTCAGTAGCTAATCACCAAAACCCCATAGTATGTTATATCAATTTTCTTCTTTTGAATTGGTTTATCCAATTATGCAATAAAATTTTAGGCATTCCATTTGAAAAATCACAACTTTGATATGTAGGTCGAAATTGGGCCACCCTGTATAATGACCAATATTTTAGAAATGTACCCTCAACAGGCCATAAATAGATTTTCCCAAAATGTATTTGTTTATGAGTAATATTCCGTCCACACATGGATGGGCCACCCTGTAAATGAAATGTGGCACGCTGCAAAGTGGACAGGATGCAACCTGTGTTGTTATAGCAAACACAGAACGTCTTACCGAGAAAATCGAAACAATCTTTGGACTTGCTTTTCTTTGAAAAGAAAAACATAAATCAGTACCTGTATGACCTTTATTCTTGTTTACTCTCCGATTTCCTTAGAAGTCCATCCGGAATTTAGCAAAACTGCCTGGGCCCGTATTTTCTTTATCAAGGCGACACGCTTTTGAAAGCTTCTTGTGTGTTGTCATATTAGCCCTTTGTCTCGAGCTTTTTCAGTGCAGGATGAGGGATGGAATCTGTAATATTGAATACTAAAAGGACTTTGATTTCGAGTATGTCAAAGCAATGACTTATTGGATTCGGTGTCCCTTTGTTCGATCAATTTCACTAAACACGACATCTCTTTAGATGTTATCAAAGTTTGCGTAACCACAGTTACGGAACTAACAAATGTAGAATGCAAGACTGACAAAGGATTTCAAGTGCTAAAGGCATTGCGTACAATTTTGGCGACAGGTTTCGTTAGATTATTGCTTTTTAAGTTAAAATTGGCGTCATGATGGGGCTGAAGCATTTTCCGCCATGAAAAATGCGTGTGATTTTAAATCCATCCTATGCAAAAAAATCATAGAAATATTTTTATAGGGAATTAAATTTTTCATTATTTTGCTTATGTAATTTAAGGGTATAGGCTTTTTATTTTAGTAAATCTCTAAAACAGCTATCTATTATCCTGTTTTACTCATTGTTGTACCTATTCAGGCATCAAAATAATGAACAGAACAATAGGTTGTATTTTTTTATTTCCTCTGATTTTTGCAACATTAAAATCAAATAAAGAAATAGGAATAATTATTAACATCTTAAATTAACTAAAGAAAATTAAATTAATATTTTTTCATGTAAATATTGCCTGAAATAAATGATTATTATTATTTTCACAACATATTTTCAAAATGTCTACCACCGACTCTTACACAACTTGCATCTTCTCAAAAACTAACTTCTCAAACTTAAATCGGATAATTTGCGTGCTGTTTGATGCAGTATATCGGCTGATCAAACTGGTTTTCCATATACCTTTTCTTTTAAACATCCCCAGTAAAGAGGGTTCAGGCCTGGTGAGCGTGGGGGGCACAAAATTGGCCTAGCCAGCCAATGCACCTGGCACCTATCATTCTGTAACCACATCCTTTTTCTTGTCTCAAGAGGCACATTTTGCAAAAAATCATGGGTAGATGGTGTTGCAAAAAATTAACTTTTTCATTTCGAAGATCAAGTCACTCACTAGCGCCACTCTATTTATTGGCGATTTTGTCGCTGAGTAATTTCTGTAATCGTTGCAACGATTTTAGTGGAAAAAGAGATATAGTAGATAACGCTGGTTTATCCAAAATCGTTGCAACGATTGCTGAGGGCACGCAGTGACAAAATGGCTGATGGACAGAGTAATGGAGGTAACTAACTTGCATTTCATCATGAAATATATATATGAAAATATTACATCTTCCATGCCAATGCGTCGCAGTAAAATGTTATTATTGATCATAGATCGTGACTTATGGAGATCCCCACGTGAAAACATTGTTTTCAAGATTTTCGATCAAACGCGATTTTGAAAATGACGACAAATGCTCCAGCCCTATTATGAAGGCAGTTTAAGCTTATCAATAAAAAAATTTACTGTCGCTGGAATTGTAGCACGAAATTACCCATTTCCTCGTCTAAAAAGAGTATATATGTGCCAGAAACTCTGTAGATTATCGTGTTACTTTTATGTGACAGGGTGTAAAATGTTCATTGGCCAAGAATAACTTCTTATACCTGTATTGTAATCAGTTAGTAAATTTTCGAAATCCTTATCATAATTTAGGGGGAACACCTCAAATGTTAATATAGATACAATAACCATAATACATGACAAAAAGTTTCCAAGAACATGTGGGGATACGCCTGGCTGCCTACTCGCAAGACGTTACGTATCTCATTGATAAAATAGCGAAATGCTATTTAAAGAATCTCAGAATAACATGTATACAAAAAACAGCAAAATAATCCTATGAAAATATCCTACTGGGCTGCTTACCGAGATACAGGCTCCTATGCGACGCTACTGGAAATTGACTATTAATACATTACCTCTACTCAATGGAAAATTGACGTCTTAGAAACCGATTGGAGTCTCACATTATTGCTAAACATTCTTGGTTCCTGAATCATAATGGCTCAACGAACATTTTAGGAAAGCTTGGACAGCTTGTTTCAATATAGTTCTATCATGCACTGCTGCTGGGGTATCGCATGCCCCATCTGTTGTCTCCACATTATTTCGGTTTCAAAAAAGGTCCTCTATAAAAAATTAAAATGAATTTGCCTTCACAGTATTTTCTCAGCGTGTTTAGGGTTTAGACTGTGCATTAGCTTTCCTCGTAATACATTCATATACTGCCGTGTTACGAGTATTCAAGCATATATCGTTTTGCAAATGTCTAATATCTCTTCAACTATTGTAATGTATGTAAGACTAGCAAGTAAACATAATATCAGTATTTTACAGCTTGTGCTAAGGTTATGCCGTTATGATTTTACAGTATCTACAGAGAGAATGGATCGCGTGAACGTGACGTCATAGTTTGGAAGATAAGGGTAAGTTCAGATGACGCGAGTCAGACGCGCGCTTGCTTAATGCACCGTTTTAAAATACAGTAATGTCCGCTTATAACGAACCTCAAGGGACCGGCGAAACTGGTTCGCTATCAGCGAAGTTCGTAATAAACGATAAATAATGCTAATACCACAAAATATTCATATCATTCATTAGTTTATTATTCAACAAGGGGTATATAAAATGTTTGTAATAGATAATAATATCTATAATTTACATTCACAAAAGTTTTTGAAAATCTTTCTTAAAAAAATAATTTATTTTTTTTGTTTTATTTTTGTGGAATGAATATCATTAATATGTAATTCCACTTCAGCTAGTCGATCTAGCACACGCTGCGGAGTATTTCGTGACTGAAGGTAATGACGAACGTTGTCAATATGTCGAAGTGCTTCTGATGTGGTTGGAGTTGGTATCAGTTCCATACCGACAGATTCTTCATCTTTATTTTCCTTTTGGTCATCAATATGAACAAACTCATTAAAATCGTTTTCACTATAAGGAAGATTGGCTCTAATATTGTCTCGAAGATCGTCTTCCTGTTGAATTTTCTTCATCCACTCGTCGGGATTAAAATGATCCCCTACCTCCAAGAAACCCCCATGCGTAAAACAATTTAAAATTGTTTCTTTTTATACCTTATGCCATGCCATATGAATGATGTTTACTGCAGCCAAAAGATTGTAAAATTTTCCCCGCCACTATCAATAAAATCTTCCATTCCCGAGAGAAGAACTTGACGATAATGGCTATTTAAACGGTGGACTACACCCTGATCCATAGGCTGTAGTTTAGAACTTGTGTTTGGGGGTATGAACACTAGGTTAATACAGTCCAAATTTTTAACATCTGGATGAGCTGGACAATTGTCCACTAATAATATAATTTTTCGTTTTTCGCGGCGTAACTCAACATCTCAATTACGCAGTTCAGCATCAAAAATATCTGAGGTCATCCATGCTCTTTTATTGGATTTGTAATTAACTGGCAACTGTGAAACGTTTTCAATACATCGAGGGTTTCTCGATCTTCCAATTACCAATAGCTTTCTTTTTTCTGTCCCTGTTAGATTTGCCACTACAAGCACAGTGATTCTTTCTTTAGATAGCTTCCCACCGTCACACTTCTCGCCTTTGAATCTTAAGGTCATGTCAGGTGTAAGCTTATAGAATAACCCAGTTTTATCTGCGTTGAATATGTCCTCGTCTTTGAAGTTCCTTCTAATGATTGGCCACTTGTTCCGCAACCAGTTATTCACACAGTCCATATCAACTGCAGCAGACTCTCCAAACATTTTTCCACTGGTAATGTTATGTCGTCTTTTGAATCTTTCGATCCAGCTTCTACTAAATTTAGGTTCTTCACTCAGTTCTTCATATTTCAATAACTTCGTCCCAAGGTATTCAGCCTTCTATTGCAGTATAGCACCACTTATGGTTACTTTTTTATTTCTCTGCTGAGAAAACCATTTCAGAAGTCCATGATCAACTTTATAATTCGTGGGCTTTTTAATTTTCTTCACATTTGGACTTTCTCAAACATTTCCTTTATTTTGTCTTTATTCTTACAAATTGTACCAACCTGTAATTAAAATGAAAGATTGTAAATCAAATTCATATCTCAGAGTGCTTATTTATGTATTTGTATGACATGTTATTGTGCAGTACTCACCGTTGATTTACTTAATCCCATTTCAGAACAAACTTCACTTTGCTTCACACCTCCTTGCATTTTTTTGACGATATCTTATTCACTATATAAAGTAAGAGCTTTACGTGTTTTCTTAGAAATTGCGTCACCCAGGATTTCAAGAGTGCAGGACACTGAATACAACGAATAAAGAAGATATCGACGATTGGTCATACCCCACCACGCGGTCGGAAGATTTCGGTTACCTGATTCTGGTAAAATCCAGTTTTACCCCTGTTATAGCCGAAAAATTTTACGAATATATCAAACATTTAGGCTCGTTTTATCAGGAGGTTCATTATAAACGGGTTCATTATATGCGAGAAAAATAGCACACATTTAATATCATTTCAGTCGGTACCTTATAAATTAGTTCGTTATAAACGGAAGTTCGCAATAAGCGGGCTTGTTATAAGCGGGTTTGTTATAAGCGGACATTACTGAACACAGAATTTATACCTACCGTTCAAGTGGAAACGTACGTCACTCAGCGAACATTTTATTTTACGCGCGTTTCCATGTGGAAGGAAAATGTAAACTAGCTGTATTTTATAAGCGTGTCATCTGAACCTATCCTTGTTGTCTATGTTTTACATCACGTGCACGCAATTCATTGCACGCTGACACCACTATTAGTACGTCGCATGTTAATGTGTGCGTCTTCTCTGGGACACGAGAACAAAGAGAAAAAAAACTGCTGACAGTAGGCGAACCCGACCAACGCGACTTCATCAACGGGTATACTGTAAATATGACAATATTTAGCATAGTTTTCACTTAGAAGCAAATACAATGAAGGGGCGAAATCAAACACCGCCGACTTGATAGCGTTGATGCAGCGCTGAATGTTTTAATATTTTTGTTCAAGAAGTTATTCAAATTGTAATTATTTAGAATTTACTAATAATACCCAAAACAGCACTCCACTGTCAACTGAATAATTTATTCTTGGAGTCAGACCTTCCAGATTTCATTTAACAGCCAACTGGGTCGAAGGAACGAGGGGGAAAGTACCCGCTTTAACCTCCGCTGGGCTACACATAAGTTATATTAATTTTGGCACTGGTTTCAGTATACTGGTTACGTTACCCGAATAACTCTAGGATCATCAAGTGAGGCCCCATCAGTTGAATTTAGTGTCATTTAAAAGTTATTTGAGAAAAAGTGATTTCCGGAGCGTCTTATGTGTCTGTATCTCCATAGGAAATTCCCGTAGTATATCTTTTGATGGTGTATCGATAACACCGTTTTTAGGTTTAAAGTCTAATTTATTACTGCTTCAGTAATTTGTAATACTTGCAACTAAGTTATAACAAACTTATAACTATGTCCACTGGACTATTATTCCATCTTAAGTCCGCGTTCGCTGTCCACTGGCTCGACTGTGTTGCGACCGTGACTACCTCCCCCGTCTCGTCGGGTTTTTATTCCCCTATCGACGAGTCGAGCAACACTCTAGCGTTTTCGCGAACTTTCTTGGAAGTGGACTAAATGGCAGCAGATTCATCTCGCCGCCCTCGAACGTCGATCGAAGCTCCTCCATGAGGCCACCATTGCTCACGCACAGCCGCAATCTGCGATACATGATGGTGTAGGTCTAATTGCCTGAATTGGCGATAGTATCTTTTCGCTAGTCGAGGTATCGGTTACGAGGGCGTTGGAATAAGAACTTATGACATTTGCAGCAGTTTGCTATTTGGGGCCGTTCAAGTATTACGTAAGCAGATTTATTACAATTATTTACCCCCCATCCCCCTTGTCAGCAAAAGTAAGCAAAGCTCTTACCCCCTCCCCCCATGCTTACGTAAACATTTGTCAATTAATGTGTTTTTTTAATATTATAATTATAACGTTATAATTATAATTTGAAAAATAAGAAAATGGATTTAGGATAGAGATTATATTTTACTGATTCGGTATTCAACATAGAGTAAAGGACAAAAATATTATATCTCACTAACATAACAAACTTATTTTAAATTTTTGGTACATATATTAAAGTCAAATTAAGTCTTCAGTCATTGAAACCCGAATCCATGATTCTAAGTTTTGGATGACATTGGATTGCTTCGATTGCTGCTCAGTGTTGCGGGTTTGCTTGCCTTCATCGGATTTTGGAGTGTCTACGTCGTTCTCATCGAGCCATTCAACATCATGGTGCTCTAAATTTTGAATAATGCACATCAGTTCATTAACACGACTAGCAGCGACTCTTACAGGTCTAACTTTCCTATCAGTGTGCGTGTTTACTTTTTTATGGATATTTTCGATGTGACGATTTAGTGACTTGACGGAAGCATGATAAAGACCACACACTTTGCATGTTCGACTTGATAGCCTCAATTTTACCGTCGGACAGAAATACTCGTAGGGCATTTGCAGGAAATCTTTGAGTGAAGCACTTAAGCGTAGAGCTAAATTGACTGGAAGATTAACAAATTGCCCTGCTTCATCCAAAACCAAGTCATCAACTGTTTGTTTTACTTTTACAGGTGGTGGAAGAAACCTATTGTCTAGTAATCTAAATAGACCACTTCTTGGACGACGGCATTCTGTATTTCTACATTTTACAATTTGAAGCAAGTATTGGCTCTCACACACATATTCTGAATACCATTTAATGTCTGGAAAATCAGGAAGATCTTGTTCACCTGCCCCAACATATTTTGCATTAACATTATAGCCATTAACTTCCATTGAACTCCATACTTCAGCTAATACATTTCCTGCAAATTCGAAATTAGATCTTTCTAAATGTTCATCAATTGTAACGCCACGTTCATCCAAATGAGACCCAAAACGGTCATGAGGCAATATTAAATTATAATAATATATAATTGAGAGGTGCTTGCTTATTTGCCGCAGTTACGGCAATAGGCACTCGAGCTTTATCATCTTGAGATATGAAAAATACTTGATCTGGTCCAAGTATGGATGCTATGTTCTCTAAATAATGGATTGATGTTTCAGCGAACTTGCTATCTAAGTGGCTCTTGTGGTGATCAGTTTGAGCCCGAATGACCTTAACAGGGATGTTGATACATGTCTCCGTCCCTCTGCAGAATTAGATTTTCTGGGAATCAAACGAAGATATGACCCACTTCGACTAATGTCAAATCCTATTTTACGTAATTCTTGTGTGAGTTCATCAAGAGTTTTTACGCTGCGAATTGATTCCTTCCGTTCATCTACTATCATCTGCTGCACTCCCAAATAAAGCTATATCCGCTACTGTTTTCAATAGTGAATGTTGATTGCTTTCAAGATTAGGACGTCCCACTGAATCCCTCAGAGATAGTTTTTTTTATTTCTGGATTTTGATGACAGATATCTTCTAACTTTCTTTTCATACCATCCCTGTGGTTCTTCTGGGCAACTGCATTTTGAACCTTCCTGTTTAAAGACTGTTTTGCTGTTTTTATTTCCTCGCGCAACTTAATGATCTGTTTATCAACTTCAGCACGGCTTGGCATAGCATCTCTGACAGAATACAAAGCATTCAGATTTTTTTCGAGTAGAGCAATCCTATTTTTCATAGCTTCCTGAGAAGGTTTTGTTGTCTGTTTATCTGTATTTTCATTAATTTCGCATTGCTGTTGTGGTCACAAAATACAGGGTGTTAGTTTTCTGTATATATGTATAAAACTAACATCCTGTACTTTGTGACCTATTTACGGAATCAATCATAAATCTATATTATAATGAATACTCACCTTAGAAAAAAAAATTAGTAGATTGGATTTATTTTTAGTCGCCGCTTGCAATTCTTCTTCGATTCTCTTAGATACAATAATATCTAGTTCCTTGTCGGATTTTGCTTGTAATTTGTAATTTCGCCATACTTCGTTAACTAACTTTTGTACATTTTGTACTTTCGTACTTGTATGAGATTTTTTAAAACTTTCAAACAATTTTTGGTATAACTTGGATTTGTCTATGTGAAACGACATCTTATTTAAACATTAAACTTTGGCTAATGGAATCAGTGGTAACACAAATGTTAACTTGCTTTACTATGCTTACAATACGTCTACTCGCTATAGTATCCAAACGAAACACTACACTGATAGAGGAAATTTAGACAAGTGAACACCGCGCGGTAATTCCCCTACTCGGTTCTAAAGCGAGTAGGGAAATTACCGCTCGCTGTTCACTAAACGTATGCAGTATTTGCGGGAATCTCCGAAAATTCGTTTCGTTTTCAAGAAAAGACAATGTGAGTATTGCCATTCATGTAAAAAAGTAAATAACTACCGATGACGTAATCATCATCTAGACTCCCCTACCCCCCATGTCATCCAAAATAAGCAAAGCAAAGAGCCCCCCGCCCCCCCATAGTGCTCACGTAATACTTGAACGGCCCGTTTGCATCTGGATACTACCAACTAAGAAACGATCTCGTTAGTATGGCACTGACACAACCATAGTGGGGGTTGTGGACAGGAAGAGGAGACAGTCAAGCAGTTGCTGTCTTCTATGGCTAATGTGAGGAAAACTCCACTGGGTCGTATCACCACCACATTTTTTCAAAAAAGTGCTGTGATCTTGGGTGATTACACTTACATCGATACAAACTGTAATCAGCTTAGATCTGAAATCCCAAGCTTAGAACTATATGTGAAACATTTTTCTTCAGATTTGAAAAGGTGTTCTCGCTAAAATGTGATGTCCGAGTAGTATCTTTAAGTTGTCAGATATTCATATATCTATCAGTACCGCATACTTATAGTTGTACTTCCTGTATCAGTTTTAGCTCCAGTATCTATTAGTAAACTGCAAGAAGTATTTTTTACTCTTCTTTGTGCATTAGAAATATATAGTTTTCTGCATCAACAAAATACTAGTTATGAAATATACATTTCCAGTAAGCTGAAACAGTGACGGGAGAATTGTTATACAGGATGTCTGCGAAAGGTTGGGAGATACTACAGACCAAAATATGTGAATTGACCTAAACATACCTTAGCCCAAAAGTTGATAGTTTGCGAGAGGGTGTCAAAGTCACAATTTTATTTTCTATTTTTCCTTATTGCTTGAGAAGTATTACAGATTTTGGCATAAAACTCGGTATAGGGAGGTTTTCTAGTATGAAAAACAAGAATCCGTTATTTTTTATGGCCAAACTTCTAGAGGGCGCCACTTTCAGCACTATTTCGGTAAATAACTTATCATAACATTAGCTTTAGACACTTCTAACAAGTAAACCTTTTGTGTTGTGGAAATACAAGAAAACAAGATTTTTGGGTCAGTTGTTGTATACAGGGTACGCAAAAAAGTTATGATAAGTTATTTTCCGAAATAGTGCTGTAAGTGGCGCCCTCTAGAAGTTTGGCCATAAAAAATAACGGATTCTTGTTTCCCATACTTGAAAACCTCCCTATACCGAGTTTTATACCAAAATCTGTGATAGTTCTCAAGCAATAAGGAAAAATAGAAAATAAAATTGTAACTTTGACACCTGTATCTCGCAAACTATCAACTTTTGGACTGAGGTATGTTTAGGTCAATTCACATATTTTGGTCTGTAGTATTTCAAGTTTCGCAGACCCTGTATAGGTTTTTTTCCAACAACTAATTCCCTAGAGTCCCTAACGGTCATTTGCAGACCACTTAAGTCCATAGCTAGGCAACATCATGTCGTTAATTTATTTGGACGCCTGCACTTGACAGACCGTCCAGACGCTCCTGGTTGGAACTCAGTGATAAACTTCTTAAAGAAGAATGTGGATTCATAAATAACATTCATACCTGAAAATCTTCCCTATTTTCTCACGTTTTGCAAGGGAAGTAAAGACCTACCCATTTTGATTCTTACATTGGTAGAAAACATATTCCCCATGTAGCAATAAATTAATGATTGTTAACCAGGAGTAGTAAGGAGGACTCAGACCGAAAAAGGTGTCCTTCTTCGTCAACTTGTCATATCTATCTACAAACAATTTCGTAGGAAAATTGGGTCAGGTTGAATAGTCTCTCTACAAAATTGAACTGTCAACTATGAATTACATTCCTCTTTGTAAATAAGGTGAGATGATGCTATTATCTCCACCGAAATGGAATTCACGCCGCAAATCCAAAGGGATGCATAAAAGCATAAATGTGAAATAGCATTTAATTTCTCTAGGGAATTAGAATATTTATTATTTGAGAGACAGCTCCGTAACTGCCAAGTCAGTATTTGGAGGTTCTGTCGCCCAAGAATGAACGAAAAGCAAACATCCTTATAACGAATTATATTGGAATTTTGGATCACGCTCGAACAAGCATATACACGGTGGTCCGCACTTGTGGACATACTAAAATGTTAGGTAGTATGGATCGACACCTTTTCATATTTTAAAAATAAAGAAGTTCTAAAATCAGTGCTTACGAATATCCAAACACGCCAAATCTGTAGTATCACATATCTCAGGCACTATTGATTCGATTTTGTTAAAATTTTTCACAAAAACAAAGTTGGAGTAGCGTAAAACCATGAACAATGAATGCTACCTATTACTTAGCATAATGGATTAAGTGCGATTAAGTTCCTTTGGTTTTGTAGTTGAAAAATTTTATTTATTCAAATATCTTATTTTTAGCAGTACAGGTTAGATAAGGTTAGATTTTCGCATATATCTTTCCAAGAGAAGGATATTGATATAAGATAGTAATAAAAGTAATTTATAGTATGCTCTGTTTGCATAACACATGCAGCTTTAATCGAACCTAGAACTCATTAAAGCAAAGCGGATACATTACGTCATGAGTTCGTAGTTCGAACGTAATTAGATCACTTTGAGGCTCTTCATTTGCCAATTTCTTTTGAATTAAAGCGCATTGGACGAAATGCTGTTACGAATTCCTGGCGACCCCTGAGAGTCGAATTTATTACACTGAGAAAAAGATTCATTGAGCCAACTAAAATTTTAATTAGATCAATTAAAAAATTTAATCAGCTATTTCACGGGTAACAAGTTTAATTAGAGTCATTAAGCTCCGATTTACAGAACAGTATACTTAAATCTATGACACTAGTTTAATTAGGCCAAAAGGCAAGCTTTTAATTAAGTTTATTTAAAATTGACGAACTATTAAATAAGTTACCTGTAATTATTGCAATTATACACAAATTGACATTAAAGATAAAGGGCTTACTTAAGTACGTGCCAATGGGCCACTTTCCTTACCATTTCTCTTCATCTTAGACGGAAAACTGTATAGAAGTAAGTATGTAGTTTATACTTTCCCTGCGTGAAAGGTCATATCACCAATCTTTTGATGCACAAAGTATTTATAAATAAAATCCCAGCTTCTTTTTCATGTATCTGCTGCCGTGTGTGTTGGCATTAAATAATGTTATTTAAAATGGCTTATTAAAATAACATAAAGTAGGTTTTGGTTTAGAGAGTCATGTGATCGAATTTCATTGAGATCATCCAAATAAAATGGCATCAAGATATCATTGATAGTGGTGAGTGAAGTACAATACCTGATGTCAGTATCATAACGTACCATTAATTTCAACGTCATTTCAGATTTTAGTGCTTAATATGTTTACATTCATTTACTTAAAAATTTTGTAAAAGCTCTAATAAAGCTTATGTCCTGTGAATTTAATTACTTATATGAGAAGCACAGGAAGTTACATCAAGGCGTTTTATATCTTATACATATATACATAGTACTAGATTCTTTGGTAACAGTATGTGATAGAT